CCCCCCCGTTTTGTTGTGCTTTCTTCCCTGTTTTCCCTCCTTTTCACCCCATTCCCTCCGCCCGCCAGGCTGTTGGTTGTCCTGGCCTTGAGGTGGTTTCCTGCATTCCCGGCTGTTTTGCTGACGCGTCGCAGCCTTTGCCCCATCCCCGAGCTTGGGCATCCCCCGCCTTGAAAAGATGAGGGGGAAAAAAAACCCCGCAAAACCAGGAAAAAATGCTGACTCCAAGGTCTGGGAAGCCCCAGGGAAAAAAATTAAATGCCAGTCATCCTAGGTTTCCCAGTTTCCTCACCCAGACAGTCCTGGCTTCTCCAGGCCAGGCTGAGCTTGGATTTTTGGCAGCAATTGCTGATCCCTTTTCTCCCGTTCCCCAGTGGGATTCACCACCAGGGATTTGCTCCTTTTGGGATTTTCTTTTGCTTCCTTGAAGAGCAGCAGCTCCTGGAAAAGGGAGATTTGGGGACTAACAGGGTGGGTTAAGTCACTTGAGAATCAGGAGACTGGTGGAACTCCAAACTGATCCAAGTGGGAAGCAGCTGGTGAGAGAGAGGACTCACCACCCCCCAGCAGAGTGAGGGAGAGGAGTAAGGGGAAAATCCCTTTAAATTTGTCCCTGGAGAAGAGAAACTCAGTTGTGCAGTGCAGCTTGGAAAACCGACAGCCACTCCCTTCCCTGCTCCACTTGTCCCCAGACAGGTCAAGGCTGTGACCAGCAGGACTCAAAAGTCCCTTGTCCCATCCTTGGGACCACGTGTCTTAATAGATGGTATTAAAAATCTGATGGTGACATAAATGGAGTTGGTCTGTAGCTAGTTTGTCGTTCTAATGGTAGTGATAATATTGCTTACAGCACTTGTTGTGTGTGTTTTGGGGTTGTTTGCTTGTTTGTTTTGTTTCCTGACATGTCTGGCTGTTTTTATGTGACACAGTTGGCTGGGGAAGTGACCAAGGGATTGGAGGATTTGGAGAGGAACCAGGAATTAAAGCACAGCTAACCAACCTGATTCGATCTGTCCGGACTGTTATGAGAGGTACAGTGAATATTTAAGCATTGTCTGTAAAGTTCTGTGCTTTCATGAAGTAACACCAGCATTTTGACTTATTTTTTTTAATCAGCTTCTCTTTCTACTTGTCATTTCCAGTCTCTCCTTCCTGAGGAGGGTGCAGGTCCCAGCTAAGATGTCCTGAGTTTGATGGAGTGTAAAACATTATCTGACTCTGGCTTGTGCTGCTACTGCTGTGTCTTCTTTTTCCTCTGAGTTTGGGAGCTGGGGGAAAAGCTCAGTGATCAAATGGAGTGTGCAGTCAGCTTCACCTTGGTTAAACTCAGTTTTATGGGAGGTACCTGGTGAGGGAAATGGAATTCCTGGGATTCTTAAAGGTACATCAGGTTTATGTGCCTCGAAGGACTGGGGGGAAAAAGTCAGACTTTAATTTATAAATTACTGATCGTTTTCTTCACTATAATGCACAGAAAAATTGTTTTTATAGGTGATGATAAAGAGGAAGTAACAAATATAACCCATTTTGCCCACCACAGAGTAAAAACTGGTACATTTCTTCTAAAAGTCACAGCAAACCCAGATAGAAACTCACTTTGAGGCAGTTTTGTTTCATTTGGAGAAAAGATTCTTTGAGTTAAAATTTAAACATGATCATAGAATCCCAGACTGGTTTGGGTGGGAAGGGACCTTAAAGAACAACCAGTCCCAACCCCCTGCATGGGCAGGGACACCTCCCACCAGCCCAGGCTGCTCCAAGCCCCATCCAACCTGCCCTTCAACACTGCCAGGGATGGGGCAGCCACAGCTTCCCTGGGCAACCTGGGCCAGGGTCTCACCACCCTCACACCAAATAATTTCCTCTTAATGTCTCACCTAAATCTCACTCTTCCAGCTTTAATCCATTCCCCCTTGTCCTCCCTTGTCAAAAGGGCCATATAAAAATACTTAGGCTGTTGCTTCCTCCTCATTAGATTCTGGCTCCTTCCACTAATCCTGATTTTTACACAGGAAAAGGAAGTATCTTTTTGAAACTCGGATTGATTTTCCTTCCTTAAAAGACAGTCTCCCAAGATAATCCAAAGTTCTGTCACTCTGAGGCAGAAATGACAACATTCATAATGATTCTTCTTTCTCTGCAGTGCCATTAATAGCAGTGAACTCCGTTACAATCCTTCTCCTCCTGTTGTTTGGGTGAAGAGACCTTCTGGGAAATCTGGTGGACATCCAAAGAAGCAAGTTGCTGCTCATCACTGCTCTTGAGTTTTCTGGGAACCCAGCACGGTTTAGCTGTCAAAATTGACGTTCCAGCTGCAGAACAATAAAGACACTATTTCTATTTATCCCCATTTCCTAATGTTCCCTTTACAGTTTCATTAAACAAGATTCTGGGATCAAGGCAACAAAGCTCCTGATGTGCTGGACTGTGACAAGTGCTGTTGCTGCCTGTTCATAGCGCCGACTGTGTCGTGACATGTTGCCGTGCTTGTCGACGGGGTGTGGTTTTCAAATGTCTCCTTACTCAGGGATGAATTTCCTTCAGCACACTTCCCAATTCCTTTTTAAAATCAAGGAAAACAGCATTTCCAGTACCACCACACTACTATTTAAGGGAATACGAATACTCTGCCAACATGTTACAAACTATTGAAGTAGAGTTGTGATGTTGGAAGAGATAAAACTTAACTGGGTGAAGTCCTGACTCAGTTCACCTTGGAAGTCGAATGCTCCTGATTTGATCTGGACCGGGATATTTCTCTTGGCTTTTGATAGACTTTTCAAATCAAGAATGTTTCATGCAAATGGTGAAATAAATGGAACATAGGTGGAAAGTGCTATGCAAAAGCTGGAAAAGCTGTACCTAAAGCTGGGCCACTCTCTGTTAATTTAGACTAGCAGGTGATAATAGTAATTAGCATTTGTTACTGTTTTGTCAAGGATTATTATACTTTTAAAAATGTGTGTTAAACTTCTGCATGGTGATCAGTGTGTTGGAAGTGGGGAACCATTTGTATTCTGAGCTTGGATAATGTGGGAGGGGAGTTCTTTGTTAAAAACCAGCAAACCTGCAGCCACTTCTGTTCCTGCTGCTTCTTCCCCTCCCTCCATCTTCCTTCATTAAATGAACAGCTTCTGAAATGGAAATGGTGGGTTTGATCTTGCAGTTCTGTCTTGTCAGGTGGGGTGAGATCTGGTGTTAACAAGTCTGGACTGAAGAAGGTTGATGCTCAGGTACCTTTTTAGAAAATGTAGGAAGTCTTATGTCTGTTTCTCAAGTGTTTTAGATTCTTTTCCAAGGAAGCCCAAAGGGAAGCTGGCAGTTGAAAACAGCTTTAGCTCATCATCTCTTCTGCCATCTGGATGACTGAAGCATACAAAGATAAATCTGTCAAAAGCTGTATATGAATTTAATAACCTTCAGTTGCAGTGCTTAGCAGAGTAACCTGTGTCCAGGAGGCGTTTAATGTTGTTTCTTTTTTTCTTTATTTAGTGAAAACTTGTAAATAAACTTGGAATTTCTAAGTTAAGCACCTCTCTTTCCTAACTTGCTCTCTCAGTGGACAGTGGGAATATCCCAGAACTGGGTTTTTTTCCCTCATCCCTGTGGCACTTGTGCCATCCCTCTGCTGTGAAGCTGCAGCTGGGTTAATGTAGGAAACCTAACAATGACCCTTGGGAATGTTGGCCAGAGGCAGACCAGGATCCTGCTAGCCTTTAAATTCTAAAGTAGGGAGAACTATTACAAAATAATTCCTTCCAATAATCTTTGTGTAATCCAGAGGTGAGGAGGGTACAGTCTGGATCAGTTATTTTCATCTATGTGTGGAAAGTCAAACAGGATGGATGTGGAACAAATTAAACATAGAACTTCTGTTAAAATGTTTGTTGAAAAAGCAGTGGTAGGTGTTTCCATTGCTCATGCATTGGATTGGAGTACGGGGTTATTTGAACCACAGCTTGCATGTCCTTTCCATATTTATTGACTGTTAAATCCCTGGTTCTTACTAAAATAGAAGCCAGTACTAAAGATAAAAAGCAGCGACTTTAAAAATGGGTATAAAATTATTTTCCCCATCTTCTTGTCCTTTCAGAAAGGCTGAAGGTTCCAGTCACAGCTTACAGCACGTGGGCAGATCATTTAAAAAATAATTAGGGATC